TTTTCTTTTTTTTAAAACATGGGGGATTTTTTTTTTTTTTTTTTTTTTTTTTGAGCACACAATGTACTATTTGAGTCCTACTTGAGGTTTTTGTGGAAATGTGTGTTTTTTTTCCCCAACTTGGCAGCTACAGTATATACTGAATCTGCATCCACTTCAATACTTTAGGAGAATGGCTAATTTGGACGGTGTTTGTGTTCTGTGATTTTCAAATGATCGATGAATAGCCATGACATGAACAGATAATGACAACTAATTGTGACCGATTCCATGTGTAATGACTCTACCTTACTCTACCTTTCAATGTTCTTGAAGATGTTGCACTTATCATCTCTTGTGGTGATCTGGAAGGCCAGTGCTGCATGATGGCTCTCTAGTACAGCTGTGTCATTGTAGAGAATGGCCAGCTCGCTTCCTGCATTGCACAGGAAGCTGTTGGTGCGGCCTGGGTGGTCGACATCATGCACAGTAGCAGCAATCAGGGCGGCCACCTCATCAATGGGATCCAAACTTTGCTGACAGGGCAAACGACACAAAAATCAGTGAAAATATGAAACTATACAACTTGCTTGGCATTAAAGGAAAAGTCTGGTATATTACAATCTTGGTCTTATTGTTATAAGGGTTGAAGTCTGGCAGTTCTGAATGATAAACTAGGCCAAAAGCTGTCACAGTACAACCTTCAACCACGCTCACATCACACTCAACTGTGATGTACATCCAGTTTAGCCTGCAGACTGAACCAAGGAGTAGCAGCACATTGTCAGAGACAGTTGTGATTTATCAACAGGACAATTTAATGTTCACCTTAATTTATAAGCACTCCTAATCTTTCCTATGATACCAAAACTTATGGAACTGACATAGTAAAATTAAATTCAGCTCAATTCAAATAACTTTCTATGTACATATATTAAATGTATATCTGTAATGTGACCCATTATATTGTACAGTAAGCTTTGTGCAGTTGCAATGAAGCACTATATCAACCAAATACAGAAAATCTTTCATTTTGTTCAATGTGTGTAATTTTGAAGCTACTCATAAAATTGAGCACATAGAGCAAGCAGCTACACTATTTGTAATTTTAGGCATTTATGAGGTCATTTACTGCTTACTTGGTCATTTTTCATTACATTTCACAGGACTATAAAAACATGAGTATGAGTAATAAAAAAAAGCAAAAATCATAAAAAATTTAATTTATTTGCAACATAACAAACCTGCTAACCTGTCTGTAGACCTCCAGGGGGTCATTAAAATGGTTTGATGTAACTTTACACTTCACTGGCTAAACCACTGATGATCACTCCACTAGGATCAGAAACCAGATGATTTGGTAGCCAGCTTAGCCGGTGAACACCCTCAACCAGTTACTGAGCCAATGACACACTTGAGCAACCACGACTCTCTAGGAAAATGTAGGCTAAGAAGGGACACTTGACACTCAAGCTGTACTTGATAAGAGAAAATCCCAACATGCAGATACTGCAGATGTTTGTGCCCACAACCAAAGCAGTGATGAGTATTTGTAAACCAAAGGGTGGTAGCTTCCAACGCATGCTAATGCTTACAGTCAGTCTGTTCAGCATCATATTGAAGTATGCAGCCATGTAGTTTTGCATATACTAATGAACGTCCATTCCTGTCAAGTTGTTGTTTTGTCAAATCAAGCAGAGAAATTTCAGGTAAAGGACATATTATTTTTTTTACTTCAACACACTATGCAAGGATAAACAACAAGGCATGTATAAGAAGAACGCATTTGTCCAGCATATGGACACAAAAGTATGGAAAATGTAATGTCACTTATTGGGACTAAGTGGGATCAGTATCACACTGATCACACAAGATAACAACCAAGCACTCACTGCCAATTTATTCATATATTTTATTACATACAGTATACACAAAAACAGCTACAATAAGTGACTATTCTGTCAGTACTATAAGTGATTTAAGGTTTATTTCAAAGGCCTCCTGGAAAAGCTAATAATGGGTAATAAGGCTGATTTTATTCATCATTTTGACAATGATTAATTAATCCTTGGTTTATAAAATTTCAGAAAAACACAAAAAACTGCCATGACAATAAACCCAAGAAGAAGCCTTCAAATTGCTTATTTTGTCTAAAAAAACATGAAAACAAACAAAAAAAACCCCAAAGATGTTTAAGATAGTACCACATAGGCCAAAGAAAGGCAGTTAATGCACACATTTCTAAAGCGGGAACCATGAAATTTTTTATATTTGTTTGAAAAATGAAAATATAATATGATCAATTAATTGATCATCTAAACAGCTGCAGCTTCATTTTGTGTCCATTTACTAATCGGTGACAGACTGAACCCACAGCAACATTCTGAAAGCAAACTTGTGATATATTTTGCATGTCTGGCAAGTTTTCAAGTTTCATATTCTACCTTGACCCTCTCCTTGCAGAGAAAATATGCCGTTGCGTGCAGGACATCAGCAGCATGAGTCGAGTTGTGGTAGGAGTTACTGGAGTGATAGTTAGCCTCAATCACTTGTAGCCAGGAGCGCAAAGTAGCCTCAGGGCAGTTTAGGAACTCGCAAACCCCAAAGCGGGAGAAGATCTTAAGGCCCAAGTAGGTCAAAGGCCTGCAGGAGGATTCAGCAGAGTAGTTTAACATAAACTCTCAACCAAAGCTCTGTTTCTGGTAGCTCTAAACTTTGTTGCAGCCTCACCGTTTCATGGTTGCAGCCTCCAAGTTGAAGATGTCAAAATCCCAAGAGTCCTCGTTCTCCATGGTCTGGGCGATACGAGGGGGGATGTCATTTAACGAAAGAGGAGTTGTCAGGTGACTGGGGATATGGTGGGGGTCTGTGAGCAAAGAGTCAAGAAAGGAGGCATTCAGATGGGAATGTGTTGTTTATAACTCTAAAATAGCATAGCATTTCATGTCATCCATCTTGTATGATTTATGTAAACGTACGTTTTGTGGAAAATATGTATTCATTTCCTGACAATCTGCGCAAACCATCCTGTGAACAAGAAACAGAGGAAGAATTAGAGACTGAGATAGCAAGTGTAAAACCTGACTACAAACATACACTCACCAGCCACTTTATTAGGTACATCTGTACAACTGTATGCAATTCAATGCAGCACTTCCACCTTAACATCTCTGTTAATGAAGCTCAAAATGTTTAATCTTTTGGTGAAACTGTCATAAATGTATAAATTCAATTATAAGTTTATTATGTGACTTTTTACTGGACTACATTATATTCAGAGGTGTTCCTAATATTCTGACCCTCTCATGTATATATCTGTGGAGGACAAAAATACAGACACACTTCTAAATATAATGTATTCCAGTACGACACCACCTTTAACTATGACCTGAATAAGAAAGTCACTTTTGGCTTTTCCTGTTTAGGGGTTGCCACACTGACGACTCGCATGTTGACATTTGGCACGTGTTTTACACCTGATGCCCTTCTTGACGCAACCTGGATTCGAACCCGGGGTACCGCTGCAAGGGCGCTGCATCTTAACCACTAGCCTACCAGGTAGGGCTTAACTATGACCTCAATAATAAACATATAATTGAATTTATACATTCATGACAATTTCATCATTTTAACATTTAACACTGAGGTTAAGGAGGAAGTGTTACCTGTGAATGTACAATTCATAAATTCATTTATCGTATATGAACACCCACATCAGGAGCTTAGCTCGGTGTTAAAAGAATCAGCATCACTCTTGGCAAAAATCTGCAATGCCCTTTAAAATAAAAACAGATTTAGCCACAAGTCATGGGGAATTTACATCAGAGACACAGCTTAAAAAATATGATCACTTTTCAAATACCTCAGAGCACCAGGAGTTTTTGGACAGTATAAGGTTATGACCAACTAAATTGTCATTTTCGCTTTGTCTAAGGTGCTAATGACATCCTAAAATCCTTGAAACAATCTCATTTGAAGTGATTTTTCCAGAAAATATAACAATAAATCAAAACCTACAGTATGATTATCATAAGTCAAAGTGATTTAAACAAGACTTGGATGTTCAGTCTGTTTGAATGCCTTTTGCATTCTGATGAAGCGGCAGAAGAAAATCACTGAAGTGAGAGACAGTATAAAGAAGGGAAAACAAATACATGGATTGTACTGATTTTCCATATTAACACTTTCATGAGTGTTCTTTCATCTGTGCTATGATACAATATTTTGGAAGCTATGTTATGTTATAACCCCACTGGCATGTGGAGGGAGAAGAGGGATGAGACAGCCACACTGAGCTTATTAATGAAACCAATGCGCAGTTTAACAAGTGAATAAAAACATTTATGAACTGAAAAGTTGGCTTTGCCACATGCTGGGATAGCAAATGGGGTTTATCAGTGGAATAACACTTCGTCACCGAAATGATCAAACACTGTTTATCGGTGCTTAGAGGTACAATGACCTAGCTCTTATAGGACTGTGTTGGTATCTGCTTTATATAAACTAACAATGTCCCACCTTCCAGACTAATAACTACTAGATTGTTGCCATGATTTTTCCCCATCATCCCTAGAGAATGAAGCCAAATGACTATGGGGATCCCCCGAATTTTCCTTTAGTGCCATCATGACATAACATTTGAGTTTGTAATAACTTGCATTGTAACTTGAACTGTAATAACTTTGATCCATTAACTTATAGTGCTATTATCAAAAAAAATGTATTAGTTTGATCATTTGGTTTATGGCCAGACATCTACAAAAATAATGGCATTCCCATTTGCCCCAGCTGTACTTGCATTTCCTGTTAATTAGCACATGTTAGCAAGCTAAAACACCAATCAAATGGTCAATATGTTAAGCTATATAGTAAACATGTTAGCATTTATGCTCAAAGCACAGCCTCACAGAGCAGCTAGCATCTTACTATTGTTTTGTTAGCAACAACCATTTGTACACACAGTTTATCAAACACAGAAATATTGTTTAAATGTGTCTTAAAGAATACCTGTGCCAAGAAACTATGATGAAATCAATGAAATGTACTGTAATGTAATACAAAACTGTGTTTTCAGGCCACTGTATGACATGAAAATGTTCAAGGATTAAAAACCTAAAATATGAAAACAAAATTTTGTAACAATTAGGACCTCCACTTCTAATAAATAACATTTGCCACTTGTCACCTACACAAGTGGCAGGCCTATGTCACCGGTGGGCATTAGTGAGTTCATGGGTGTGTGTTGCAGAGTGAAATGTTTACTTTACATGTGAAAAAGGAAGAGGAGACTGGCTCATCTTTGACCTGAGCATTGTCTCATGGTGGCGCTGCTTCTGTACACACTGGCTATTTTAAGACTTTCTCCCCAGAAAGATGACAGCTCTTCTCTTAATACTAACTGGGTCTTCTGAGTTCAGACTTAGCTAACCTCACCAAAATAAACTGGAAATGCAATGCCAAGAAAATACAAATGCAACCAGGCCCCTCATAAACCACGTGATCATACATAAATAATCATCTTAACCCAAGCAAAGACATCCTGGTTTTCTAGTTTCATCAGCTGTCATTCCTTGTGAGGAATAAGTCTTTATGGGGAAGGACTATGTTGAACACTCCTCTGCCTCAGTGTATTCAGAGCGTATATGTATAAGTAAAGCCATGCTTATTCATCTGATCCAAAGAACAGGATGTTTCCAGGCCTGTGGAGTTGAGGGGAAGAGGTTCATGTGAGTGTGACTGTGTGCAGAGACAGAGAGAGGGGGGAGAAAGAGAGGGTGTGCTTTCCTTTCCAGCCTACAGGAGTACAAAGGACAATCTAACACTTCCTCTGGGGTGGTTGCCAAGACTGCCAACTTGGCACTCTTTATACATGTGTACTTCACCATTGCTGTCTGTTACTCTCTTCTCGTCCCTTTCTCCTTCCCACAAATAAAAGAACAGAAATCAAAATAAAAGTCCACACACAGGCACTCTAGCTTCAGTTTCTGTCATTTAACACATTAAGATGGGCTTTCGCAGTGAATGCTTCATGGACATTCATACTGACATGCATCTTATCACAGTGGAATTCTCCATATCTGAGTCAATTCATTTGTAACGGAAGGAAGCTGTTTGGGTGTTTCAGAGTTCTTGAAGGGTCCTTGTGCTCCACAGGACCTGCTGCTTACCGTCATCAGTCCCCCCACAAGGTCATTTGTATGAGGGTCTTCATCCTTGGTGCCCAACTGTGGGGAGTAGAGCTCAGTTGTCCTCAGAATTTCTAGTACCCGATCCAAGGCCTCTGCCACAGGCATGGGACTGCTTTCCTGCGCTGCATTGATGATGTTGATTACCTGGATGATGATGGTGATAACAATAATAATAATTATTATTATTAGCTGTAGTAGTAGTTTTCAAAAACTAACTTTAGAATCAAACTGAAAACATGCAGAATTAAAGATTTACAGGACCAGAATAAAATGGGCAAAGCCAGTTCTGATAACAAAATTTTAAATAAATAAAGACTTTTTAAACCAAATAAACTCAGGATAAGTTTGCCAGAAAAGTTTCAAACATATACTGATTCAGCCAGTCCCAATTTATTCGGGCAGATCATTCCATAGTAAGGGCCATACCAGAAAGAGCCCTATATGAATCTGTAAGATGTCAAAATCAATCCCAAAACATACTGGGAGGACGTATAAAAAGGATAAAACATTCACAGTGTGGTCAATTCTGTTCATACACTTTCTTGTCAAGGTTTAGATGAGAAGAGCAGCACTACAATTTAGCTTATCATCTTTGCATGAAAACAGGAAATGCCAGAAACAGGTAACCTGACTCTGTCCACACACAAAAAAAAGAAAAAGAGAAGACAATTTATATGAATTGATATTTAGGGTTGCCAGGTAACCACAAGATACTCTAAACCCATGTAACCCATTTGTTTTCATATGGATTAAACACACCAGTGCCAGTTTTCCAGTGTTTAGGTAAGTGTGTGCTGGTTGTATTTACTGTACTGAGCGCTATTGATCTTCTTGTCTAAGCAGTGGTGGAGGAAATATTCAGGTCCTTTACTTAAGTACTATAACACACTGTAAAAATACTCTGTTCAAAGTTATCCCACATTGAAAATGTTACTAAAGTAGATATATTTAAGCATAACCTGGAATATTATCTCTATGCAAGTGATGATGCCTGTGACTATAATTTTATGTCATTAGGTTATTATTAGCCTAGTCATTCATTAAGTTGTTTGAGGTAAACTCATTTTATAGGACTGCAGCTATTTTTGACTAAGTGATTACCTTTTTGCTTTGTAAGCATTCTGAAATGTCCAAAGTGGCACTTTCATAATAATTCTTTTGTCCAACCTACAGTCCAAATCTCTAACTTATTCAAATAATTCAAAAGAAATGTGGCAAACATTTTGTGAATCTGGAACCATGAAATGTTTGGTATTTTTGCATTAAAAAAATGACAAGCTATTACTAAAGGTGCTGCCAATTAATTTCCTGTCAATCAACTAGTCGCTTCAGCTCTATTGTACTTACTGTTGGATTGCTTTAATCTATACCAAAATAACATCTTTAAAAAGTGCTCAGTATGTTTTGTATGCAGAGAATCTAACTGTGTAATATAACAATTAACTAACACTGTCAGTTAAATGTAATGCAGTAAGAAATGCAATCTCTCTCTCTAAAATGTAGTGGATAAAGTTGCATGAAAAGACTCAAGTACAAGTACCTCAAACTGATACTGAAATACAGTACTTGAGTAAATGTACTTTGTTACATTCCACCACTACACTACAGTATCCTCCTAAAATATCAAACTATTCCTTTAGGATCTAAAGTTCAGAAAAAGAAACGGATGCAGTCAGCAAGACATGCTCCTACAGCAGACAATATATCATATAAATAAAAGATCTTATTTTAAAAATAGTTATTAAGAATGAAAGCATGTTCACCCAGAAGTAGCTCGGAAGTATGAGGCTCCAAAAACATAAAGAAAGATTTACATTTTTTACTCCGATTTTAACTGGGAGGTTGTTGAAGTTCTAACAATGGGTACCTATGGCGAGGTCGGCATGCATGTGCAAGAACACAACTGCTAGCTAACTCACTCTTGCACATACAGTTGTATCAGTGCTTTGTTCTGGAGAACGGACTAATTGCACAGTCAAATGATAGAGCAGAGGAACTGCAGTGCGTCATATGACCTGTCCCTAGGGACTTTCTCCATTTCCCACTATCCAGGCTGCAAACTACATAAGCCGCTGATGCAACAGGTCAATCTAGCCCAACATGCTTTCCTGTCCTGTCAATAAAATGTGGCATTTTATCAGTCTTTCTCCTCTTGACATGATATGTGACCTCTAGACTCAACGCTAGTTGTACAAGAAGTCCCCATGGCAGCTGTGGAAGTTTTATAATCCAGGAGTTGTCATGAGATAGAAAACATCACTACAAAGTGCTAATCATTACAGAGGCTGGAGAGATGATGGGGAATTAGATGAACCCACCTTGGTGATGGGAGCTTCTATAGTCATGGAGTGGATTCGGGCCATTGATGAGTGCCTTCGCTGTGAGCTCCCTGGCAGCATGATAAAAGAAACAAATCCCCATATGATAAGATTGAACTGGTGAGGTACAACAACAAATTACACTGCAGTTGTCCAGCTACTTGCTAATGAACGTGTTTGTGTATGTGTCCAATCAATACTTGATGCAAACTGGGATAGTTCCATAGCCTGACAAGAAATGCCCAAAGTTGGCATAATCCACCTCCCTTCACACTCACCATCACTCCCCCGAGATGTTGTGGATCTGACATCCAGAGAGCCTTTCCTCCGGTCTTTGTGCTTACTAGATTGGATGTCTTGGGAGAAAAATAAAAACACCTGACATTAACAAGCATACACAAACACAAGCAGCAAGGCTAATCTTGGACCCCATCATAATATCCCTGAGTGATTCTGACAATGGCCAAACTGTCGTGGCTGGACAACAGGGTCAGATGATCCCCCAAAATACTGGTCTTGTTGGGTGTTTCGAGTCTACAGTGGCCAGTACCTACCAAGAGTGGTCTAAGAACAAACAGTGAACCAGCAACAGGGTCATTATGCACTTCAGTGAAACACTTTACCACCACCTTAACATTTGTGTTTATGAAGCTAAAAATGTTTGTTTTTGGTGAAACAATCATAAATGTATAAAATCAATTATATGTTTATTATTGAGCTCATAGTTAAAGGTGATGTTGTACTGGACTTCATTATATTCAGAGGTGTTCCTAATAATCTGACCCTCTCATGTATGTAGCTGATGAGGACTAAGATACAGTATAAACACCTATAAATATAATGTAGTCCAGTACAACACCACTATTATTGACTAAACACTTTGGGTAGGGTTGTTCTATAACTTCAGAAGCATAATCAACCGTTAGAGATCCATAAACAGAAAAATTAGGGGACATAGAGGTGTTGTATATGAATTACTGTGAAATATATTAAGACTGTGCAAAACTTCATCACTAAACAGCACGATTTCAAAGTCTCTTCTATTCAGTGAGCTGGTGAAAGGACGCCAACACAGTAGAGATATAATTCTTGTTTTGTTTGCCTGTCAGAAGTGAAGCAGCTGCATTTTGAAATCAGTCATAGCAGTGAATTGGCTTTACAGTTGATTCCACAATACAGCAGGGAACAATAGTCCAGTTTAGATAAAAGCATGGATAACTTTTCCACTGTTAACAAAAGGCAGAACTCATTTCTTCTGAGCTACTTCTCAGCTAGATAGAGCAGGACTGGACACTGTTTTTATACTGTTTAAAATTTGGATCATAATTAAATAAGACAAATTTTCTAGCATGGTGTGACACATTTACTGACATATTTCCAAAACGTAGTTCGCCGTGTGTGACAATCAACAACCACCAAATATTTGGTGTCTGCAACCAGTCAGTTAGAATTAGGACTGTGTAGCTATCATCTGTGTAACACTGCGTATCATGCTTCTTTGTTACAAACACAATGCCAGCCCACAGATACTTGAACTCTGTGGCACACCACAACTGATACGGTCTTGGAAAGAAGTCCACAAATGCTGAGGACTGCCCAACAGAAAGAACCTGAACTACTCAAATCTGAAAGACTCCACATTCTTTTAATTTGTTTAGCACAAGATTAATCACCTTTAAGATTATTCTAATACAGAGGGAGTTAAGACTGAGGAGTCCTGCACCAACAGTGGGCAAAGGCAATTTCAGGATGCATCTTACCTGTCTGAGATTCTGCCTGCACACGTTCACTGGATCTATCGCTCTGCATAGAGAGAGGAGAAAAGCACATTGATACATGCAGGCCGGAAAGCTCCTTTCACTCATTATTAATCAGCAAAACTGGAAACACATCTCACCTTATTATTATCATTTAAAGGCCTGTTGATAGACACATAGTGTCTGATTTTTCTGTGAATTGCAAAAGCTTATTAGTACATCAGAAAAAAAACAAAGGGATACAATCCTCATTCATTCATATATTATCCAGTATAATTATTCAGTTAATGGAAAGGTAATTTACATTTGGCAAGACTGGATGAGCCAGCATACTGTCACTCACCCGCCCTGTCCAATTACAGGTGTGATCTTCACATTTTGCTGAATGCTATCTCCATTTTTCTTTTTGGCATAATAAATCCCCTGCCACTCCTGGAACAAAGCATGCCAAAGAGGAGAAAGAGGAAATTGAGCACAGAGAGGAAATCGAGCATAGAGACACATAATGTACAGACATAAGAACATATGTAGGAACCATTTATCATAAAAACTGACAAAATATAAGGCTTGAAAATGTCCTAAAGTGAATGTAGACTGGGTGTATGTCATCTGGCAGTGTTTGTAGTACAGTTTAGTGGTGAGATTTATCTGAATGGTTGACCGCATCCTCTGCTCGGTGGGTCAGAGTATTTCAGAGAGCAGCACGTTGCTTTAATGGGTGGGGGGAGCTCTCCTGGAGTCCAATGTGCTTGTTTTATGTCCCCCCACCTACAGACTGCTGTGGCAGCTTAAAAGGGTCCTTCCTGCTGTTAGCCTGTCTGGGACTGACCTTAGCTCTCTGTGTAGTAAGATTACAGCACAGCCATCAACCGCTGTTCTTACGCACATGAAACAGAGCTGTTAGATGGCCAGTGGTGCTGACTTACATCACACATGGATACACGTGCATGCATGTGTGCACATGATCTGATTGTGAAGTGATAGTCTACAGTGAGATCTTCGTTAGATGTCAAAACTATGTGAGAATATAAAACAACACAAACTGGAAATATTTCCTAATGACTTTTTTTTTTTCATTTTTCATTTTTCAACTTCGCTGTTGCACTAACCCCAGCACATTTACCTAGTTGTTGCCAAGGTCAGTGTTGTTTAATGGGCTGTCCCATAGAAATTAATTAACAAAACAAAACAAAACAACATAAGATGTCCATCATTTGCCGAAGAGTCCCTGATTAAGTAAACCACATTGAAAATTGTGTTTGGCCTGAAATGTATTGCTTACATCATAAGATGATCTTATGAATGCATATTACCTTTCCTTTCCGTATGCAGGAGTTTATTGTTTCAAGGAGATCAGGCTTATTCTTCTCACTTTTAGGCACTTCTATTATTTCCTTTCCTATTAGCTCGCCTTGTTGGTAGCCCATAATGGACTCATAGGCAGGATTCACATACTGTGAAGGAGAGGTAACAAGAGTGTTCAGGCTTCATCTGTGATGGTGATACACTGCTTATAACATCCACACTGAGCTCAGACAGTTAAGATAAAAACCTCAAACCGAAACAATACATTTTGAAAAAGGCTGACATTCATTGCTTATTTCAAGAAGTTCAAAAACATATATTTGATGTGACAAGATAATTTGAAAACGGAGGCTACATTGTTTGGATGTCAACAGAAAGAGTCATTCAGAGTGACACAGACTACTGAGGTCGCAAGACATGAACAGGTACTCAAAACAGGAGGACACAGAAAAGAATGTCACAATAAAGAAACTGGAAGTATAAAAGTTTGAAAGAAACCTACCTGTATTACTTGATCTTCAGAAGTGATCTCTATGGCCTCTTGGCTTTGTTCTAGAGCTGTGAAAATAGCATTTCCAGCCCTTGTACAGGTAGACAGACAGCAGCACCAGAATCATTAGCACATGCAATAGGCAGTGTTCAAAATGTTTTATACACACATACAATATACATTTATGCTTTCTTAATAAAAGAGTTAAGAGTAGCACAATATTAAAATTGGCATAAAAAGTACGTTTGTTAAAGTGAATATTGCTTCCGATGTCTTGCTCTCATTGCAACAGCTTTGAACATAGGTAAACATCATTCAAGGTTAAGGCCGGTCATTTTCTATATTAACAGTATTTTTAACACTCCCCATACAGAGACTAGAACCAACAACGATTTGCCTCTACACATGGTTAATGTCCCTCAGTGTGTCAGTCCTTTATCAGCTTATTCACCTGTACCATAAACCTTCATTGTTGTTCAAAAATGATTAAAAACACATCCGTGAAACACACTGCTGCACTTGGTGACATATTGCTTCATTAGCAAACCTCAGAGCCAAGCATGAGTAGCTAGTGCAATGTAAACAAAGTTGACAGTTTGCACAAAATCTCACACATGTGCAATTGACTCTGACTCTTGCTAACTTCAGGAAAATATGGCTGCTGGGAGCCTTTGGGGCAACATAGTCGGATCTGGTGTTTCGTTATGAAAAAACATGTCACCTAGTTCAGTGGTGTGTTTCCTTGATGTGTTTTAATCCTTATTAAACAACAATGGAGGTCTATCGCACAGATGAACAAGTGAATCTAGGACTGACAGCTGATAAGCATTAACTGTGAGTAGAGGCAATTCATTGTTGAAAATACCTTTGATACAGAAAATGACCGGCCTTATATATTTTAAATGCAACTACACAACTCACCTCAATTTGAACTGCGCCCGCACCTCCCCATGCTCCAACTGTAGCAGCTCATTGTAGCAGGCCATCATATTGGCATTCTCCACATATCTCTGAGGGTCAAAGGGCAATGTCAAGCAACATGATTAAACAAAGACAACTAAAGTCTCATTTGATTTGAGAATGGGCAACTCAGTGAACAAAGAACTTACACCCTGGAGTTCTGGTTTACATTGAATTTTGCCAGTAGGTTTATACTGTAAAAACATCAAATGGCTAATGCGAACACAGTCAGCTGAGAACACACACAATGTTGCTCACCCTATTAAAACCGGCATTGATCAGGGGCATCACAGAGGCTTCCTCTCTGTCTGGCCTTAAAAAGAGAATATGTCAGCTCCTAAACATCAACATATGACAAATGCTTGTTTAAAGAACATCAGAGAGTTGCACCATGTGACAGGCCTACAGACCTCTGCTGAGTCAGGCATTTTAATTCTGACAATACTCCTAACATTATCTACTTAAAAAGGTAGTGAGGAAAATGTGAAGAAGGTGCAGAAAGAGAGAGAGGGGACAGTGAGTTGTACGCACCTTTTCACAACAGCGACTATCACAGTGTTTTCTGAGGAGGTGACCGCTCTCATTGACCTGAATGTAAACAGAGAGAGCCTTGAGCCAGTGAGCAGACTTGTGGAAAAGACCATGGCATCAAATCAGTGTATTTTTCAGTTTTTCATGCCCTGATTCTCCGAGGGAGGCAGACCCCAGTGGTAGAACTCTGAGCGGGTCTAGGCCTCTGAAAGAATGCAGTGTACAGGGCCACTCATCCGCCTGTGGTTTTTCCCCAGCTAGCAGTCATAAAGGCCCTTTAGTTCCCCATCGGAGCCTGTGCATGTACACTGAACATATGGAATGGCCAAAATGAATAGGGTTAACATACACGCTGGGCAGGGCAAATGAATGTTTGCAAGTGTGCTTTTGGTTTGGGCCGAAGCTAAAGATAGAAGCGGTATAGGCAGGCAAAACCCATCTCTCACTGTACTATGCAATGAAAGTAAGTGAGCCCAAGGAGTGAGCAGGCCATTTACCTGAACACAGAGTTATCATCATGTGTGTTACCAAATGTTATATAACACATTACAAGTGGTGCTATAATTGTTCCTATCAAGATCATCCAGTCTGAATTATGTCACTGGCCAGTCAACTGTGTTCGATACATCAGGTAAACTTGTAGTTGTCAAAGGGTATGTCAAAAGACTACAGAGTAACTCAACTATTATACTGTACAGGTGTATCTAATAAAGTGGCCGGTGAGTAAGTAAATGTAGTGTGAATGCAAACTTGATCATACTGACCTACCAGCTAAACACTGACAGTTCAACAGTAGCAGTACATCACAAAAAAAAAAAAAAAAATGTACATTGCATTATTCCATAAATACAAGATGATGTACAAGTACACTGATGACGACAGAATGAACTTACCGGCATAGTGCTTCAGCATCAAAGTGTCTGGAATGTCTGTGGTCAATGATGACGAGGTCATGATGCTTCTCCAAGAAGCATTCCAGAGCCGACTCAGGTGTTCGGGCCATGCTGCACCTGAAGTTGGCCTTCTCACATGCCCAGCAGAAGCCATTACTCTGACTGTCCTCTTTGGCAAAAACTAAAAGTACCTGCAAAAACAAAGATGGCTAAGCACATATGAATGAGCAATTGGTAATTTAAGTAATTTTAAGTAATGTAAAGTGCATCTGTTTATGTTTCTCCCAAAAATATATTACTCATTTAAAATTTACATATAGAGAGCTTTGTAAAGGGAGCCTAAGCACTTAAAGGCAATTATTTCTATTGGAGGTAGATAAAATACACCTAAATCATTAGATTAAAAATGAAGCAGCAGAAACATATTACATGTAAACAAGTGTACATGCAGGTACAAGCAGGTGATTTAATAGATGCAGAGGATTTTCCAACATGAGCTCCACAGATAGTGGATCACAGAGTAGATGTCCTCATGGCATGAGAGGGATCTGTGAGCCCAAACTTCAGAAAGATCAACAAAGTGACTGACTGCCAAAAAACTATGATGCAGAGGGCTGTATCTAACAAATACTGCAGTTTGTGTGTTGATTATGAACACAATTCATCAATTAATCTTTTAGTTTATATAAACTAGAAATGAACAGGACAAATTCCCATTATCATTTCCTAATATTCTAAGTGACATCCTATTTAGAGTAGCAGAACCAGCAAAGGCCCCATACCAAAATATGGAACCAACTTGTTTTTAACTAATAAATGATGTCTAATATATATAGATTCACCGTGGAAAAGACCATGGCATCAAATCAGTGTATTTTTCAGTTTTTCATGCCCTGATTCTCCGAGGCACATCATTTGTCCTACATGGGCAAAACATGCAAAGCCACTTGTGCAGTCCTTCAGTAGTTGTAAAGCTGTATTGTAAAACTGAGTGTACTTCTACCTGACAAATAAATCCTAAATTTGTAGAAATTCTATGTTATTGTTTGAATTGCCACAATCATAAATCAGCTACATAATTTTAAATAAGCTGGAAGCCTGTGCTGTACGTCAAAGAGCTGCTGGTCTAACTGAAATGTACAGTAGCTATGAAATGATTAGGAAACCTGGTATTGCTAATCATGATTTGAAAAATGATCCACCTCCACCTTGTGCTAATTAGTTCAGCTAAAAACACACACACACACACACACACACCTACTCTGAGTTGTCAAGTCACCACTGCTACATTCATGCTCGTTTGCACCTGTCGTCCTAATCAGTCTGCAGCGTGGGCTTGACTGTGACCTCAGGCCTCCAGCGGACAGGTCCTGATTGATCAGGCTCAGCTCATACTTGGGTGCGTCAGAGATTTTATCGTCCGCTGCCATGATGTATGACACAATTAGCTGAGGTGGCCTTGACTGGCTGCGGCCCCTCCCACCGGTCTGCTAGGGCTGTGGCTGAAAGTACTGCTGCTACCGTCAAAACCAGCCACTACGAGCACACTCTCTGCCACCACACTTTCTTTGCTTACGTAAATAGTAGACCAAAGATTTAGGCCTGCCTCCACAGCTGCACTAAGAGTAGATTCATGAGTCACTCTCTCAAACAGACATCATCTCCAACTATTGGCAGGGATGCAGAATGAACAATAAGAAGACAAAGTTTGTTCTGCAGTTTTAAATTTGCATCACACCTCTGAAACTGATTTAGGGCACAAAGACCTGACTTTATTTGGAAAGCTAGAGGTACCGTCCTCCACACAATGAGTGGGATAGAAGACTATGTTCGGTACGCACAGGGAATCAGATCAGAATTCCACATTGAGATGTTGATGGAAAAGTCAACATTCGCCCAGAGGTGGAGGGATGGAGTAATATAGGTTGAGATAAGGTCTTTTCGGATGACTGTGCTAAACCGATGCATCTTGCTCAGTAAAAATACATCCAGCTGCAACTGACAAAAAAGAAAAAAAAATACAATTCAAAGTACATTCAAGAAAAAATGTTATTCAGTGAGGATACTCTGTTCACAGTTCAAAGAAACTGAACAAAGAAAAGAAAGAAGAGTAGAGACAAAGGCTGCAAAAAAGAGGGGGGAGTTCAAAAGGGTATCAAGCATTAAGGCAGGGTCTGGTTGCTAGAATACATCATTGTTGAAAACAGAGGGCCTAGTAAGATCCTGTGCATTGCATGAAGGGAGAAGGAGGAGAGATGAGGAGGGCATGACAGGATCAGCTGTTAGTGACAAAAACAGGAAGGGGACATCTCTCTGCCTCATTTTCCTACTGTGGTAACACTGGACTGCATCAGATATGAACACATACACTTATACATGACATTAAATTGCACTAGGGATGCAAATAATTATTTCATAATTGAGTGTTTTGGCTGTGAAATGAAAAAAAAAATTAAAAAAAGTTCATCTCAGTTTTTCAGAGGCAAGATCTTCAAATATCTTGGTTTGTGCATTCTTAAAACACATTTAAAATTCCTGCAAAGCTGACTTTATGAAGAGTCTCAGTTTTCACACAACAGCAGCAACACATGTCAAAGGAACAAGCACAGTGCCAAACTGTATAATGACCCGCTGAACATCAGAGAATGTTCTATTCGCAGTGACGAAACCGGTCCATGGCTCCTCTGTGCACTTCTTTCATAACATGCATTGTTCATTATGGTATGTTCTTGGTCATAAATGTTTGGCCTTGTTGCCTTGACAACTCATAGCTTCATCACACACAATACGTCCATTAAAGGGCCCATGGCATGCTTTTCCTTCTTTTCTGACTTATCTACAATGCTACAACGGTGAATTTTCATCTTAGACGTGACCTAAAGATGTTCTAGTATTTCTATGCAGAAGTAACTCGGTTTATATACAAGTCTCGCAAACTCGCACTCACAAGACTTTTTTTCTAACAAAAAGTATTACGTGATAGTTTAAGGATCTCCTTGAATGTGCATAAAATCCAGGTTGTTGCGCTTTCAAGTGAGCTTGCCTGACATCCACCGGTGGCCCCACCATATTGGCAAAATGTTATACTGCCTCGTTTGTTATGTATGTTTTCAATAAAGCTTATTTTTTTTTAAAAGCCATTGTAAAAGTGGAATTTTGACTGTGCCTCTCTTGTGGATATATTTTTCCTCCTGCTGTTGCACTGTGACCAGAGAATGTAGAGAAAAATATAGGGTCTGAGGTTAATGCATGTCCAGGAATGTTCCTGTTCAAGGACTTGCTGTGTTACCTGACAGGGTCTAACCTACAAGCAGCCGGCCAGTGAAGCACCCCAGCGGTGAATAATCAGTTCATCAATGCTGGATTCCCCCGGAGCACAGTACCTGTTTGTTTTGACTGCTTGAGGCCAGTGTGTCTGCCACATGCGATATGTTGCCGGTTAACAAGTGGATTAATGACCCATGTTGTTATTGTCGGTGCTACACTACCCGTTGGAATTAGTCTCGCTACTCTGGGACTGTATCTGGTCATTTGGGGGAAGACACAGTGACCACTGGTTGGATTTACCGACCCTGGAGCTACTTTCCACTACACAACTCCCGCTGCTCTTGTTGTGTCACAAGTGGACAGCACAACAAACCGCGACCGCATTAAATTGAATTTCTCCTCCTCCGTGGGATGGACAGAAAGTAAAAAAAAACAAAAAAACAACACACGTTGCATGTCTGTTAATGCCTTGTTTCTGTAACATTAGAGAGAATTGTTGTAAGGCTGGAGAAGTGACCATGTCTGAATTATGTCGGCTTTCTCAATTACCCACATCTCTTTTCATCAGTACATACACCATTATTTATCTACAGTATCTATGGAGGAGAAATTCAAATTAATGCCGTTGCGGTTCGTTGTGCTGTCCACTTGCGACACAACACCGGCAGTGGGAGTTGTGCGCGTTCACAAACTATCTTCTCATTTTTAGGAAGAGGCTCTTTGGTTTTATTATTCTGAAAAATTTTTTGACTATTTGAACTTATGAGGGGTGCCAAGCTAATCTAGAGGTATCCAAGATTAAACATAAAATGTGCATGCCATGGTGACTTTAACTGCTTTTTTCCTTCCTCTTCTTTGAATGTTTGCATGGGGACTTTCTTCTTCTTACCTCATAGCAAGGTGTGGCATCTTTGAGAAATTCAAGATTAGTTCTAACAGCAAACAAAAGTAGGTGACATTTTAAAATACTAACAGTAGAGATATGCTACTAAAAACTGACAGTCGCACCAAGTTTAGCTCCAAGGCTCAGCTACAGTAAAAGCCCCTAAATGATGTAGGACATAAACATTTCACTGGAACACTTCTGTTGTTCCAAGGAAAGGCTCAACTCATTCAAGCAGAAAAGCATCAGTCATTCAGATGTTTGGCATTGTTTTACAATACCTGAAGTGGGTCTTTAAATAGCTTCATTGGTCCAAATTGCACCTCTGTTAATGTGGTCTGAAAGATAACAAGAAGAATATAAGGATTAGAAAAAGTAATTTCATATATATGGAATTTTCTCAGTTATTTCATACTTCTATTTTAAACATGTATTTTGCTGACACTGACATTAGTTCCTCTGTTTGCAGTCCCACAGATCCCACTGCAAAATGGGATCTAGTAGTAACATCAGCCCCGTTTCATATTTTATCATGTGATATTTCTTGTCGAAGTAAAAGCTGTCTCGTGAAATCAGTACATAAGAGAACCAGAGCAGAAGCAGAGTGCAACACGCTGCTCTCTTTCAACACACAGGGCTGCGCTGGTCGGGGATTGAGGGGTTGCAGGGGAGTGTTGTAGGTGTGTACGATACAGCAATGTTATGACGAGTCAACGTGAGTGGCTTCATTCACTTTTTCAGCACACGACTTTCCCTTGTGTTTTGGTTAGCCATGCTGTTAACATAGCTTACTGTGCCTTAGCACCAATTCTACCATCAGTGTTTCTGCACTGATAAAAAACATCCAATATTCACGAAAATGCATGGTGTGTCATTATCATGCCTTAATTGTGGCCAAAATTTGACAGTGAATAGCAGTGAATGCTCATGCTAACAAGGTAAACAAAAGTCTTCTTCCCGTGGGTGTCCACGTCCCGATCATCTCCTGTATGTGACTGGTCAATGCAACGCCTTTGCCAGATGACCTCACATTCCGGTGCAGTGTGATTGAGGGTGAAAACAGCATAGAAGGTCACACACAGGTTCAATTAGATGCTAGAAGCTCATGCATAATTCATGCACAGTTACAAGGTCTGAAGAGACTCGTGTGAAATCATACAGGACAGAAGCCAGTCAGCTGAGCTTGTGTCAAAAGCTTTTACACTGCCTGGATATTGTTGTATTTTACTGCATAAGGCATTTCATAGTCAAAAAGTTGAACTGAAGTGACATTCATTACAAGATAAAGGTGATTATCCTTAAGATGATTAGTTAAAACATTTAGCATTTTGTGACTTTAAGTGAAATAGGAGAAAATTGTGTTAAAATAATATCTCATTCTCATGATCCCACTATTGTGCATCTTCTCATCTTGTGAGTTGTGTATCATCACATGCTACATAATTAAGAAAGTAATATGTGGTTTTACCAAAATTAATTTTATTGTTAATTGCAGACCTAAGATCCATTATTTTAAAATGCACCATTCTACATGAGTACTTTTAATTTTGATGGCAAAATTGTGCTACTTTTACTTAAGCAAAATTTTGTTTTTTCCACTGCTGACTAAGCAAAAACAAATATTTGCAAGTTAATCATTTGATTTCTAATTAACTATACTACTGTATATAGCTGTTAAAAACACACACACTTTCCTACATGAGCTTACTCTTTTCTGTCTGCAAATAATTTAGCTTCCTTCTTGCTAAATACAACACAGCTCAGGGGTTAGTAACCATAGCAACCAAGTCCCTTGCGGACCGCCATCCCTCTAGAATTCCTCTTCTCCGTAAACAATCTACACTTGAGGAGGAATACAAAAAGGATTTTTAGAGCATGCCAGGCTGCAGCAAATCAGTTCTTGCTAAATTGTAAGCCTTTTGAAAGCTCCACGAAACAACGTGGGGCAGGGGGGCTGATTAGCCCTCGGTTGTAGCCAAACTGACATCATCATGACACTAGACTATTTGTTGTGGTTGTCCACAAACAATGAGTAGGGCATCAGGGTAGATACAAGCTGATGCTGTGTGATCACCTGATCATTAACAGACAGGCGTGATAGACTCATGTGCACTGTAGAGACAGAAATAGTGTTTACACGTTTATATATGCTTGTGTAGACAAGTCATAGTTGGTATCCTAGGTTTAGGATAACCCTCGTGGTTAGGGTAAGGAGATATGGAATGCCTTATGTCAATAATGGTCCTAAACAATATACAAAGGCAAGGTACAGTATGTGTCTGGTGGGGGTGGGGGACTAAGAGGGACAAACAGTATGGAAATGCTGCAAACTCATGATCTTCCAAGAGGGTTTGACCAAACAAGACCTAGTTTTCCTGTTGTCAGATTCAATTTCAATTACTCTGACCACATGTGTCATAACAAATAACTCACTCCTCAGCTTTATTAATTTTGATTAGAGATTTAAACCGCCCATTTATTTTCCTTTGGAGGCAAAACAAAGCATTCTCTCTTCCATAGGCTACTCCTGAGCAAATGTCACAGATGGTGGCCATATAAAAATACACCACATACAAAAAAAGTTTCCACTGTGATGCCGTGTGCTGGTGAACTGGTTGAGGTTGGGCTCTTGATGTATGGAGTCTGGCAGAATTTCAAGATAGCTGAGGTCTAGCAAGAGCAGTACACAGCGCTCCGTCTCCATCCAGAGAGACTTCCCTCCCTAACTGACAACAATTGCCACTGCAGCTGAGGCTGTGTAACTTGAACAGCTAGCGTGTCACATGCACACAGAACTGAACCAGTATGCCAACCTCTCTGGGCAACACACACCTCATGTACACTACACACACTGCAATGATTCACTCAGCCAAGCATTTGCATCCCGCAAACATCATGCTGGCACTCAGCCAGAAGCAAACAAAGCAGGGGAAGTGAGTGAGCATGTAGGCCAGGCAGGCAGGCAGGTAGTACAGACATGGTGTTCATGCCTACATAACCCATGTCCAGCGCTCTTGCTATATGTCGCTATGCTGTCCCAGTCACATGGCTCTCCCTCTCACTTTCTCTCATTCTCTGTGTACAAACTAACTTGTTAATAAGATGACAAGTTTGTTGAGCAGTAAGGTGTTGTGCAGAACCAGTTGTGCTCAATATAGAGACTTCCAATAGAGGTTCAAATGGAATGCAGTGAATTCTGTTCCTTCTAGTTTGTCTCAACTCAGTTTGCTAGTGAAGCTGGGTGATACTGACCTTCCCATTTCTTGCATACTCAAACTGTATGCACACTCAGTAATTAGAACTAATACAGTCTAATACAACAGTTCTGCAATAAATCTTCCCTTCGTGAAAGTGACAGTGTTGATTTTATGGACCTGTTTTAGAGAAAGGCTGATACAACAATTTTGGAAGATGTAGTTTGTCAGGTTTTTAATCTCATGTCCAACCCATTTATCATATAACAATCACATATAAACACTGGTTAGTATAACAGAATTCAACAGCACCACAAACAGCAAAATGACCTCAGAGTTGAATAAACAGTTCTAAACAAAAACTGAACAGGAGGGATTTATGCAGGACTGTTGTATTTCACTGAACTCATTTTATCTTGTTGTACTTAATAAACTGCCAACTGACTGTTCTGGCATTTGTTTGTGGTAATTTGACTAAGCAAAAACATAGTAAGGAATAGCCACCACATAAACATAAAATGAACCAAAATAACCCTTAATAACTAGACAGCACTCAGACAGCACAAACCTCTGCCAAGGCAGATCACTGTCCCCTTAGTGCTATGGCACCTAAAGGCTATATTCCTGTGACAGTTTGACCCCCATAATATGATTCTTTGACCATAAAAACTTATACCTAGCATTTGGAATCGCACTGATATCATTAGTAGTTTGACAGTTGTTCGAGACAATATTTCAGTAATGGCGGTTTTCTTCAGGATCTAGCTCAGTAACTTTTGAAGCTACAACAAATCTCAGCTAGTCTGTTGTCTTACAACAGCAAGTTTTCCATGAGCCCTAAAAACGTGAACATTCTGCATCAGCAAACCTGGAATATTACTTGGATCCAGATCATCTTTTGGTGTGTTATCTTGCAATTTTCGCCCAAGTATTGTAGGCATAATGTATGGAGTTAGAAGCAGAAATATTCAAACTGGCCTTATCTCACAGTCGTGAAGAATCCTTTAAAAATTCCTGGATCAGCATCAAAATGTAACATTTTCATGGCCCATATCCTACCTCTCCAAAAAAATTAACATTTGTTAATTTTTGAGTTATGCTGTGAACAAACCAATCAACAAACAACCCAAGAAATAAACCAACAAATGCTGGTAAAACATTATTAAATTCCTTCAAAGTCTTATACTACACAACGTATACGAGTCTGGATAGACATGGATGCAAACTGCACATTTACTGGTTGGCAGAGGCAACAAATGGAAGGCAGTGATTCTAGTTCTGTCTTAAGACGAAACATCTCTAAACACATTTAATAAGGAAATAAAGTGAGACATATGAAAACCTTTCCTTTAAAGCCCTTCATGTTTAAGATGGAGTACCAAACAAATTTATACTTAATTTAGTTTCAGGTGCAATGATCAAACCTTGTCCCTCCAAAAAAAAAACAACAACAACAAAAAAAAACCTTTACACACACACACATCTAAGGGACTGTGGGCTTCAGGACAGCGGTTTCCTGCTTTGCCCAGATGGTAATCTAACTCGAATTAAATACCAGAGACAACTCCTAAATTGAAAAGTTGAGTGTTTTAATAAAGACACATCAAAAATCTATCTCCTGAAGTGACTGTTTCCTGGTGGACAGCTTCAAACACTCTTATGTTGTCTGATATCACACCCTTTTTCCTTGTTCGGGCCACTCTGACCACACCAGAGCTGCTACATGTCTGCAGTCATCTCAAGCACCTTACAGGACAGTCTGCAGTCCCATCCTACTCTGATTCATTACTCCTAAAGTATTTACATAGTGAAATTGCCTGTGACCTTATATCCTGCTGCTAATATATCTGTCCCTGTAGATCACCTCCTCCTTCAGCCAACCAGCTTTTCTGTCTCACACTCAAAGACACACACGGACAATTACACACACCACACCATACACCCTGGGAGAGTGGCTTTCCACTAAAGTGGAAAAACAGGAAATTGGATGACATTGTTTGGTGCACCGACGTCAGCAGTGAGAGATAGAAAGAGTAAACTGCTTCCTCCACCCCAGAGCTGGGATCAGGATACAGGGAATCTTGGGATACCTGCTCTGCTTGTGCTACTTGGTGAACAGCGCAGCCATGGACGTTTACCTAACA